GAAAAGAGAGAGAGAAAGGACCTGAGAAAATATTTGAAGAGATTATAGTTGAAAACTTCCCAAACATGGGAAAGGAAATAGTCACCAAAGTCCAGGAAGCACAGAGAGTCCCAGGTAGGATAAACCCAAGGAGAAACAGGTCGAGACACATAGTAATCAAATTGACAAAAACTAAAGATGCAAAATTATTAAAAGCAACAAGGGAAAAACGACAAATAACATATAAGGAAACTCTCATAAGGTTAACAGCTGATTTCTCAGCAGAAACTCTGCAAGCCAGAAGGGAGTGGCACGATATATTTAGTGATGAAAGGGAAGAACCTACAACCAAGAATACTCTACCCAGCAAGGCTCTCATTCAGATTCGATGGAGAAATCAAAAGTTTTACAGACAAGCAAAAGCTAAGAGAATTCAGCACCACCAGACCAGCTTTGCAACAAATGCTAAAGGAATTCCTCTAGGCAGGGAAAAGACTAGCAACATAAAACAACTTGTACATATATAGACTACTATATCAAAACCTCATGGGAACAGCAAACCCAGAAACTACAATAGATACACACACAAAAAGAAAAAAACAACCAAACAACACTAAATATGATCATCAGAAGAAAACAAAAGAGAAAGAAAAGAAAAAAGACCTACAAAAACAAACCCAAAACAATTAAGAAAATGGCAATAGGAACACACATATCAATAATTACCTTAAATGTAAATGGATTAAATGTGCCAAAAGACACAGACTGGCTGAATGGATACAAAAACAAGACCCGTATATATGCTGTCTACAAGAGATCCACTTCAGACCTAGGGACACATACAGACTGAAAGTGAGGGGATGGAAGAAGGTATTCCATGCAAATGGAAATCAAAAGAAAGTTGGAGTAGCACTACTCATATCCATAAAAATAGACTTAAAAATAAAGACTGCTATAAGAGACAAAGAAGGACACTACATAACAATCAAGGGATCAATCCAAGAAGAAGATATAGCAATTGTAAACATATATACACCCAACATAGGAGCACTTCAATATATAAGGCAAATACTAACAGCCACAAAGGGAGTAATTGACAGTAACACAATAATAGTGGGGGGCTTTAACACCCCACTTTCATCAACAGACAGATCATCCAGACAGAAAATCAATAAAGAAACACAGGTCTTAAATGATACGTTAGACCAGATGGACTTAATTGATATTTATAGAGCACTCTACCCAAAAGCAGAAGAATACACATGCTTCTCAAGTGTACACGGAACATTCTCCAAGATTGACCACATCCTCGGCCACAAAGTAAGCCTCTGTAAATTTAAGAAAACTGAAATCATATCAAGAATCTTTTCTGACCACAATGCTACGAAATTAGAAATAAGCTACAAGAACAAAAAACTATAAAAAACACAAACACATGAAGGCTAAACAATATGCTACTAAACAACTAATGGATCACTGAAGAAATCAAAGAGGAAATCAAAAAATACCTAGAGACAAATGGAAATGAAAGCACAATGATCTAAAACCTATGGGATACAGCCAAAGCAGTTCTAAGAGGAAAGTTTATAACAATACAGTCTTACCTCAGGAAACAAGAAAAATCTCAAATAAACAACCTACCTTATACCTAAAGCAACTAGAGAAAGAACAACAAACAAAACCGAAAGTTAGTAGAAGGAAAGAAGTCATAAAGATCAGAGTAGGAATCATAATGATCAGATCAGAAATAAATAAAGAAAGAAGACAATAGCAAAGATCAATGAAACTAAAAGCTGGCTGTTTGGAAAGATAAACAAAATTGATAAACCTTTAGCCAGACTCAAGAAAAAAGAGAGAGGACTCAAATTAACAAAATTAGAAATAAAAACAGAGAAGTTATAACTGACACCACAGAAATACAAAGGATCATAAGAGACTACTATATGCAACAGTATGCCAATAATATGGACAACCTGTAAGAAATGGACAAATTCTTAGAAAGGTACAGTCTCCCAAGACTGATCCAGGAAGAATTAGAAAATATGAAGAGACCAATCACAAGCACTGAAATTGAAACTGTAATTAAAAAACTCCCAACAAACAAAAGTGCAGGACCTGATGGCTTCATGGGCAAAGTCTATCAAACATTTACAGAAGAGCTAACATCTATCCTTCTGAAACTCTTCCAAAAAAATGGCAGAGGAAGGAAAACTCCTGAATTCATTCTATGAGATCATCATCACCCTGATACCAAAACAAGACAAAGATACCATTAAAAGAGAAAATTACAGGCCAATATCACGGATGAACATAGACACAAAAATCCTCAACAAAAGAGTAGCAATTCGAATCCAACAATACATTAAAAGGATCATACACAATGATCAAGTGGGATTTATCCCAGGAATGCAAGGATTTTTCAATATCCGCAAATCAATCAGCATCATACACTACACCAACACAGTAAAGAATAAAAACCATACGATCACCTCAATAGATGCAGAAAAAACTTTTGACAAAATTCAACACCGATTTATGATAAAAACTTTCCAGAAAGTGGGCATAGAGGGAACCTACCTCAAAATAACAAAGACCATATATGACAAACCCACATCAAGCATCATACTCAATGGTGAAAAGTTGAAATCATCTCCTCTAAGATCAGGAATAAGGCAAGGATGCCCACCCTCACCACTTTTATCCAACATAGTTTTGGAAGTCCTAGCTACAGCAATCAGAGAAGAAAAAGAAATAAAAGGAATCCAAATTGGAAAATAAGAAGTGAAAATGTCACTGTTTGCAGATACATAGAAAATCCTAAAGACATTACCAGAAAACTACTACAGCTCACCAATGAATTTGGTAAATTTGCAGGCTACAAAATTAACACACAGAAATCTGTTGCATTTCTATACACTAATAATGAAAGATCAGAAAGAGAAATTCAAGAAACAATCCCATTTACCATTGCATCAAAAAGAATAAAATACCTAGGAATAAACCTGCCTAAGGAGACAAAAGACTGGCACTCCAAAAACTATAAGACGCTGATGAAAGAAATCACAGATGACACGAACAGATGGAAAGATATACCATGTTCTTGGATTGGAAGAATCAATATTGTCAAAATGACTATACTTCTACAGATTCAATGCAATTCTTATCAAATTACCAATGTCATTTTTCACAGAACTAGAACAAAAAATGTTAAAATTTGTATGGAGACACAAAAGACCCCGAAAAGCCAAAGCAATCTTGAGAAAGAAAAATGGAGCTGGAGGAGTCAGGCTCCCTGACTTCAGACTATACTAAAAAGCTATAGTAATCAAAACAGTATGGTACTGGCACAAAAGTAGAACTATAGATCAATGGAACAGGATAGAAAGCCCAGAAATAAACCCATGCATCTATGGTCAATGAATCTATGAGAAAGGAGGCAAGACAATACAATGGTGGAAAGACATTCTCTTCAACAAATGGTGTTGGGAAAGCTGGACAGCTACATGTAAAAAAAATGAAATTAGATCATTCTTTAACACTATACACAAAAATAAGCTCAAAATGTTTTAAAGACCTAAACGTAAGACTGGACACTATAAAAGTCCTAGAGGAAAACATAGGCAGGACACTCTCTGACATAAATCGCAGCAATATATTTTCCAATCTGTCTCCCTGAAAAATGGAAATAAGAACAAAAATAAACAAATGGCACCTAATTAAACTCAAAAGCTTCTGCACAGCAAAGGAAACCATAACCAAAATGAAAAGACAACCTACAGAGTGGGAGAAAATACTTGCAAATGATGTGACTGACAAGGGATTAGCCTCCAAAATCTATAAACAGCCCATGTGGCTTAATATCATCAAAACAAACAACCCAATCAAAAAATGGGCAGAAGACCTAAACAGACATTTTTCCAAGGAAGACATACGAATGGCCAAGAGGCACATGAAAAAATGTTCAGCATCACTAATGATTAGAGAAATGCAAATCAAAACTAGTGAGATATCACCTCACACCAGTCGAAATGGCTATCATCAAAAATCCACGAACAATAAATGCTGGAGAGGGCGTGGAGAGAAGGGAACCCTCCTACACTGCTGGTGGGAATGTAAAATGGTACAGCCACTATAGAGAACATTATGGAGGTTCCTTAAAAAACTAAAAACAGAGCTAACATATGACACTGCAATCCCACTCTTGAGCATATATCTGGAGAAAAACATGGTCGGAAAGGATACATGCACCCCAATGTTCATTGCAGTACTGTTTACAATAGCCAAGACATGGAAGCAACCTACATGTCCATCGACAGAGGAACGGATAAAGAAGATGTGATACATATATACAATGGAATATTACTCAGTCATAAAAAAGAATGAAATAATGTCATTTGCAGCAACATGGATGGACATAGAGATTGTCATACTGAGTGAAGTAAGTCAGAAAAAGAAAGAGAAATATCTTGTGATATTGCTTATTTGTGGAAACTAAAAAGAAATGATACAAATGAACATATTTACAAAAGAGAAACAGACTCATAGACTTAAGAGAATGAACTTATGGTTACAGGGGAGAAGCGTGGAGGGAAGTTATAGTTAAGGGGTTTGGGATTGACATGTACACACTACTATATTTAAAGCACAGAGAACTCTGCTCAATGTTATGTGGCAGCCTGGATGGGAGGGGAGTCTGGGGGAGAATGGATACATGTACTTGTAGGGCTAAGTTGCTTTGCTGTGCACCTGAAACTATCACAACATTGTTAATCGGTTATAATCCAATATAAAATAAAAAGTTAAAAAAAAAAAGTAAAATTTGAGATTATTTTTCCTTAGCTTAATGCATGCTTAAATGTTTCTCTGTCTTATTAGTCAAAATGTTAATTCTTTCTACTTCCTAGATGTATACACCATCACAAAAAAGAAATTAAAAATTTTCCTGATGATATAGGAAAACACACCTCATCACTAGTGGTTTTGTCTTTTAGGTGAAGGGTTATTTTTATTTTCATTTTTACCTTATAACAGTCTCCTCCAGGCATGATTTCCTGAATATATACCAAGGGACCTTCATTCCGGTTAATTCCTCCTAGGATCTTCAGACCAAGGCCTGTCTCCTTGGTAACTGTAATCATCTGAAAGGCAGGATCTCTAAGATAAAGTAAAGTAGCATGCACAGGTTAGCCTAGAGATGGGCACCTACTTTTTCTTTAAACTGTTTGGTAAATCAAATTCTTAGAACTAGACAACTCGGAATACTCAGTACACACTAGCAACGACATTTTAAAAAGTATGATCACACAAAAGCAATCAAATGAATTTTCTTAGCTCTAATTTTAGTTTTTCTATAAAACAGCCAAACAGTACAAGAAATTACTGCAATAATGCTTATTTCTTTGGAGTAGAAAATACTTTAAAAATATTATTTAAACAACATTAAAGATTTATTAAAGGTGACTGAAGAGACTTAGTTTTAACTGATTATTTTGACTACACTGAAGGATTCCAAAACAAAATATTTTAATGAATTAGGTAAGTGACTTTAAAAGACATGTTTTTGGCCACTTAAAGCAAAATGACCTTCATTTGAATCTCAAAAAATGCAGTTTATCTTTTCAATTTAGAAAGAGTATTTTCCTGGTACAAATCATTTGCTCCAGCTGCAATTTCTGCCAGACATAAAAGTGATGCCATTAGAAAAGAAGGAACTGTTAAAAGAATTCTGCAAAAGGTACTCTCCCCCCTTCACCTCAGTTGTTTCTAAACACTGGTCAGAGCAGACACTTTTACTGGTCCAAGAGAACTTGAATAAAGCATGAAATGAAGCTCAGGGCCGTCTGCTTACTTATGGTGTAGTGGGTGTTGTGCTAAGCAATATACATACATTAGGCCGTTCAACTAATATTTATAAAATCCCTATGATGATTACCCTCATTTTTCTAAAAGAACCCAAATCTGGGCAGGTTAACTTGGTGGCCCAAGGTTACGAAGCTGGAGAACAACAATGTGAGGGCAGTCTGTCTAACTCCAGAGACAAAGTATGGTCTAAGGTCTACTTCACTGGTGCATTAATGCCATTGTTGAATATAGGACTTCCAGCTGTCTTCAAACGTGCCAAAACACGGAAACCGCTCTTTAAAAGAGTTACTTCATATCTTACATATGATTATAGCTTTAAAAAAATTTTCTTAACTTCTGCCATAGAAGTTCTGACTATATCTTTAAGAAGACTTGTATTCAAAAGTTAAATCATAAAAAAGTAGAATGAAAGAAATTAAAAATTTTTTAAAAACTTACAAAACTCCCTGTTTTTGAATATTTTGCCCTTTATATAGCACATCCTTTAGGGTTGCATTATATTGAATTCAGCTCTAGGGTTGGAGGGCCTATCTGGGGATACTAGGGTAATAGTCAATTAGCTAGGAAAAAAGGCAGAAAATGTTCTACAGTCAGATTTCAGAACCTCAGTCCATTCTTGACAGGAGATTTAGACTGCAAGGACGTAAAGGGGTGAAGCCTAGAAAAGGGCAAGATGAAGAAAGGGGACAAAGGTCCTCATTAAGCACCTCCAATAACCTCTTAAACCCTCTAAATGTCAATTTCCTTCAATGGGGACACACACGATCTCCAGCATATGTTATTTCAGTAACGGATCCCTCCTTTTCTAATCCCAACACACAGTATCTATTATTAACACAGCAGTGTATTTACTTGCTAGGACCTTACTTTAAAATTCCCTCATTGTTAAGAATTTATATGACTTCCTTTTTTCTTTTTTTTTTTTTTGTCTATTAAAAATAGTTCTGCTGGGCTTCCCAGGTGGCGCAGTGGTTGAGAGTCCGCCGGCCAATGCAGGGTACACGGGTTCGTGCCCCGATCCGGGAAGATCCCATATGCCGCGGAGCGGCTAGGCCCGTGAGCCATGGCCGCTGAGCCTGTGCGTCCGGAGCCTGTGCTCCACAATGGGAGAAGCCACAACAGTGAGAGGCCCGCGTACCGCAAAAAAAAAAAAAACACAAAACAAAACAAACAAACAAAAAAAACCAGGCAGAGACACTGCTTTTCACCTATCAGATCAATGTAAATTTAGAACTTTCACAATATAAGACAAGGCTTCAGGAAAGAGGTACTCTTTTACATTGTTGGTGGTAATGCAAAATGGCATAACCCCTAAAGAGGGGATTTGGAAGTCTCTAACTTTACCTTCTGATCCAACAATCCCCTTTCTAGGAACCTTTCCCAAAGATACTCTGGCAAGAAATACAAATGACTTGTATACTAGGTTCGTCATTTGGCATAATTTATGATCACCAAAAATAGCAAACAATTCAAATGTCCATCAATAAGGTACTGGATGAATAAACTATGGTATATTAAGAACAGAATACTATACATGTTACAACAAGGTACAAGGAAGATCTTTATAAATTGATATGAAGTGATCACCAGGATATAATTTTAAGTTAAAAAAAAGTCTGGTCAAAACACTATATATAATATGCTACCTTTTTGTTAAGAATGCACTGGCAAGTGGAGCCTGGGAGCTGAATCCTGGGTGTTTTGGAACATTTTGCCTTGGTCATATGCTACTTCCTCATGAACTTGATTTTGCCCTAAGTAGTTGGATAAAACTCTGTGCTGTCACACAGAGTAAAACTGTTCAACATCAATGCATGGAGCTCTGTAGACAGAGCTCTTCACCTACCAACAGCTGGGGCTGGCTTATATCTCTATGAGACTGGAGCTTTCCACTGCTCCCAGGAGGAGGCATCAGGGAAAGATAACTTGAGTTTAACTAACCTGACACCCTTCTTCAGGGAAGATCTTCAAACCTGAGTCAAAGGGCTGGTGAATACTTGTTTACTATGTAAGCAAGAGTAGAAGAATGTCTATACAGTGGAACTATATACAGAATAAATAATAACTTTGAGAAAAATATAATTATATACACACATATATATATCACATGCATATATATTTATATGGATATGTATTTGCTTATGCAAAAAGAAACACTGAAAAAGAACTAAGAATAAAGATGGCTATTTATAGGAGGAATGAAGGCACAGAGTGAAAGACAAGACTGAAAGCAGGACTTCTCCAAATATACCTTGTTATATGTGTGTTACATGTTTGCAAAACGGCCAATTCTTCTCGTCTCTGTCTGCATGCCCCCAGGAATGTGACTTTACTGTTCCTTCCATTAAAAAGTAAAGTCTGTAACTCTAGACCTTGAATTTGGACTTAGTTATCTAAATTGCTTTAGCCAATGGTGCATAAGCAAATGTGAGGAAAACAGACATTTGAAAAACACTTGTGTTTTGTTGCTGGGAACCATTCTACCACCACGTGAAAAAGTCTGAGCTAGCTGCTTGGAAGATGAGATGCCAAGTTGAAAGAGACTTCAGCTATCCAGCCTTCCTAGATGAGGCCCCAGAGCATGTCAATGAGGCCACCCTACGTGATCTGGTGCAGCCCAGAAGAACTGTTCACAGAATCATGAGGAAGAATAAATGCTTGCTTGTTTCAAGGTATTTTGAGCTGGTTTGTTAGTCAGCAAATGTTAATCTTAACATTGTTATTTTTATACTGGAATTATAAAATATTTTAGGTATTTAAAAAATCAGATCAAATTTTTAAAAAGCAGTCTATATAAATAATTCTAAAAGAGAATGCATAATTATCCTTTACCCTGATTTACACAGAAAGCTCTGATCAACCTTTTCATTACCACTATCTTAGACCACAGGTACGTAGCTGTATAAAACTTTCCACCAAATGTTCATTAGTATTCTACATATTTTAAACTATGATAGTTCAAACATATTAAATTTAATTTAGCAATTACTTTTCAAGTAGACCGGATGATACTACAGCAGATGTATTTTTATTCATGGTTTCACCACTACTGTAGCCTTGGATTTAACAGCTGTATAAATGAAGATCTTGACGAAGAGTCTATAAATTCTTCTTTTCCTAAGATTGGAGAAGTAGAAAATAAACTGTCATGTCTTAGAACAGTCAAATTTGATTTTAACTGTGCATAAAAACATTACATATACTTGGCATGTAAACAATATGTCCCTGTGTATAGATGATAGATGCATTTTATATATATTGAGCTATGGCATTTTAGTCATTGCTGATAATATCTGAGAAATGTAAAGGCAGTTCTGTAGATAGAAAGCTAGATAGAGCTATAGGACTATATCTATATCATTATTAATATCTATAGCTATATAAAAATCTGTATATTCTAGCAGAAGTGAAGAATACAGTTAAGCTTTAGGTAACTATTATAGCTTCCACCGTTACTAAGCTTAAAAAACACATAATAATAAAAGACTGAGGAAAATGTCTCTTGTGAGCACAAGGCTAGGAATTTTACAGTCAGAATGTCTGCAAAATAATTATACAATACACTTCGAAGAAAACACAAATTCCTACTGTCTCACCAACTATCTTGAGGGACTTCCTGCAGATCCTATATTACTCTGACTCATATTACTCCATGAGCTTCTTAAATACTTTCCTATAAAAAGAAAAAAATATTATTTTAATGTCTCATATAGCTCCACTGTGAAAATTATAGAGAATAGTGCAGTTTCATTTAATTTAAAAACTGTATTTGAACAGATTTACCACTTCTGTATAAAAAACATAAAGTATAGAAACCTGAAGTTGAAAAAGACCTTAGGATCATTTAGCACAGCTCTCTTATTAAAGCAATGAGTAGCTAGATTCAGAGAGATTGTGTACTTTCCCTATACAAATGAGAAATAGTCAATGGTTTTTTTCCCAACTAGAACTCGGGCTTCAGAGCCCACAGCATGGAACTTGACATCAGACAGACTGCATTCCAATTTGAGCTTCTAGGCTTCTCCAAGCATCAGTTTCTTCAAAGGTACAGTAGGTAGTAGTGATGGTTTTACAAACGGATACACATGTCAAAACTCACCAAACTGTCTCACTATAAATATGTGCTGTTTGTTATAAATCAATTATACCCTAGTAAAGTTAAATTTTTTTAAAAATCCAATTTTCAGTTAAAAATGGCAGCTTGACCTTGGCATGTATCTTCTTTTCCTCCAAGAGCCCACTAATATAAGAGTAAAGGGTTACAAACAGTATAAACTCATAATGTTAGAGAAAAAATGAAAGAAGAGCCATGAGATGAAAAGTTTCAAAATTTCTGGAAGACAAAAAATAGATGGTAGGACGATAATTGATAAAGGAGGCCTGAAGAAGCTGAAAGCTAGGGAAAGGCTTTGTAAACACTTTTAAGTTTGAGCACACATATAGAAAATGGTAATACTTGTATGGTGTACTGGGGTAAACAGAGGTGGCATGCTATACCTCTAAGAAGCTGAGGGGCAATCACTAACTCAGCACACCATAACTGATTCATGGCAAAATTCTGGCCTAAAAAACAGCTAGAGATGTTGAGGAACATATCTTGTAGAATCCCAGAGAGGTTGGGGACTCAGGAACCCAAAGTACTAGGGACAGTGAAACTGAGGTGGAGAACTAAAATCAAGGGGATTATCCCATCTCTTCTCCAACTACTTATGTGAGAGAAATCCTAGATTCTTCTGTCAATAAATTAAATGGACTCTGAAGAAAGAGCCTAAAACCTTCTGGGATCCTAACACAGAATTGTATCACTGGTCTGGGTGTTAAAACCCTGCTTCAACTTTCACAGCCCCTGTGGTAGCAAGCAACAGAAACAGTGGGAGCACACAGATCAACAGTAGCAGGGAAATGAAGCCACCAAGCGCTGTCAGCAGCAAGAGTCTGATGGCCAGGAAGCAAGAAGGTTACTCAGTACCCCATGGGGGAAGGAGGGGAAACTTGAGGGAAGAGCTTACAATCCTAGGGCTTGACAGAGTAATGACTCAGAGTAAAGAGCTGCTGCAGTGGTCCACAAGACTAATGCAGCGGTAGAAGAGAGTTCAATTCTAAAAGTAAGTTTTTATAAGTTCATTATAGACTGCTTTAATAATATAGCAGAATGGAGCAGATTCCCAAACCTTCAGTGAGGAAATTTTGATATAACAATAATAATAGCAACTACCATCTATTGGCACCATGTGTCACACACTGTGCTAAGTATTTCAAATGTATTTATCTTATTTAATATCATGAAAAATCCATTAGCTTTAAGTAAAACAAAGCTGAGTTCAAATGGCAATACCGCTATATGCTAGCCATACAGCCTTAGAAGAGTTACCTAACCTCCTGGCATCTCTTCATATTAAGGTAGGAATAATAACACCTAGCTAAAAGGGTTGCCATGAGGATTAAGGGAGATGTAAAAAACTGGGCTGTCTTCACAGTGTTACCAAAGTGAGTAAGATCCCCATGCAGTAGTGATTTGTCTTAGCTGGGCACTGGGTCCCCAGGTCATGGAACATATCCAAGTATAATGGATATGTCATTGTTAAATTCTATAATAGATTCCATATAGTGTCATTTAATTTTTTTTCTACTTCAAACTATTAAAATGAAATTTCAGTTTTTAAATTATTTCATTCACCTAACATACCTGTCATTGTCCTAAGTGCTGGAGGTGAGATAAAAAGAAAAGAGTCTCTCCCCAGAGACAGTCAAATAAACAGACATCAGGAGTGTGCTAAGTGCTCTGACAGTGGTATTCGCAGGGTGCTGGGGGCATGGAGGAAGGCCATCTAACCCAGAACGGAGGAGTCGTCATGAAACAGCAACACAGCCAGGCATCATACTAGAGGATTTTATCCTCAGAGGAGCCCCAAAAGGCAGGTAATATTAACCCATTTTACATAAGAGAAAATCAGTTAATGGAGAAGCTATGTGACTTGCTCATGGCCACAGTGCTAAACAGTTATAAAGTGGAATTTGAATCCAGTTCTGCCTGGCTTCAAACACAAGCTTTTTCTGCTACAGGACACTGGAAAATTAATTTATGTGGAAAAATGTCATCCTCCAACAAAGTAGGATAAGAGAGTGTTAATTAATGCTGTCTCTCTTCTATGAAGATGATACTATTTTTTTTTTTTTTTTTTTTTGGCTGTGTCACGCAGCATGCAGGATCTTAGTGCCCCAACCAGGGATTGAACCCGTGCCCCCTGCAGTGGAAGCATGGAGACTTAACCACTGGACCGCCAGGGAAGTCCCTATGAAGATGATACTACTGATTAAACTTCTTTACAATAATGAAATGGGTTTAATCTTATCCATTCAAACATCAGCCTTTTATTTTCCTCTCCACATGAACAAGGTATCCATTATCATATCCTTAAAAATCATAAAATGCCTTTTCCTTCCCTCTCCTTTGCTTGTTTCCTACTCCTTCCTTTATACAAGCGAGCAAGGTCCTCAATTGATAGGAGTTCTAGTAATGTTACACATCCACCCCAATCCCCCAACTTCACAGTATTAATGAATGACACAAAGAAAATATTCTATTATTTTACTAAAAATACGACTATTCAAGGAAAATATTTTGTTTTTCTAGGTTGCTGACTCATAGGGGGAAAAGGTTAGGTCAGCAAAAACAGAGACAGTGGAAACAGAGACAGTGGGGGAAAATATTTTGTTTTATAAGCTGACTCTATTCTGGAAAACTTAAAGTAGAGCTTTACTTTGATACACAACTCTCTTATGACTGCATTAGAAGTTTTCATTCCATACAATTAAAAATCTCATCAGATAAAAATCTGCCTATCATGCACATGATGTCTGAATAACAGACTTAATAATTTATGTTCTCAGAGACACGACATTCAGTATTTTCTAAAACTAGTTCTTTTACCAGACCAAAAATAGAGAATATAAAAGGGAAAGGGATAAAAACATCTGACAGAAATGATAGTAAGTGTTAACTTGATTAAACTATAATAATGCCATATGAAACATTATATTTTTAAAATTTAAATAATAGTTAATACATTCCAATGTGGTTATATATTATGGATGCATATCTCTGTCCTATCCAGCTCCACACCATTTCCACACTTAGGTACCTACTGTTTTAGTTTCTTGTGAATCCTTTTAGTTCTTTTATATACAAATAAACAAATATAAATAAATATTCTGATTCCTTTACATTTTTTTGATGCAGAAAGTAGCTACAATCAGGCACAAAGCACCCAGCTGTTCAGGTTGTACACTGTACAATCCTGAGGGTTTGTATGGGTCATACAGACTCTGATGTGAACAGGTACTCTGGAGTGTGTGGTAGCCCTGCATACTATATGCACTACTGTGCAACCTGTTTCTTTTTTTCTTTAACTTAATGTATAACTTGGAATTCTTTTCATATTTTTACATAGCATACTAATTTATTTTCACAGCTGTATAGTATTCCATTTTATGGATGGACCATATTTATTTATTCCCTTATTGATAGATATTTAAATTGTTTCACTTTTTTTGCTATTGCTATAATGAAATCTTTATATATAGGTCACATTACACATGTACAAATCTATCTGTAAGATAAATTTACAAAAATCAGAGTTTATACACACTTGCTATTTTGACAGAAAATGCCAAACTGCTCTCCATCAGGGTTGTACTATTTACAATTCCATCAATAATAGTGCCTCCAACAATAATAGTGCCTGGTATTCCAAATCCTCACCAACATGGTATACTACATTACTTGGATTTTGACAGTCATATTGATGAAAATGGTATCTTAATGTAGTCTGAGTGAGGCTGAGCATTTTTTTTTTATGCTTTCAGAACCTTTTATGTGAACTGTGTTTTCCTATCTTTTGCCAATTTTCCTATTCATTGTTAGCTTTTTACTGTCTATTTTCTAGTTCATAAATCCTAGGGAGATTATTCCTCTGTCTGCACTAAGAATTGTAAGTATATCTTCCTCCTTTTGTTCTTAGATTTTTTTTTTTTGGTTATGCAAAAGTTTGTGGCTAAATTTATCTTTTCTTTTATGATTTTTGGTTTAAGTCAAATGAAAGTCCTTGCCGACTCCACAAAGTTACAAAGAACTCTCATATTTTCTTACAGTTTCATTCTAAAATCTTTGATCCATTTGGAAACCACCTACAGTATAAGGTATAGATCCAACTCTTATTTTCTCCCCCAAGAAGATCACTCAGTTGTCTTAACCACATTTATTAAATGTGATTTGAGATGCAACCTTTATCATACACCAGATCTCATAAGTACTTGGGTCTACTACTGTACTTTTTTATTCTGGCCCATTTGTTATTCTACATATTTATGTACCAACACTATTTTATTTTAATCATAGACGCTCTATAATATGTTTTCATATCTGGTAAGGACAATACCCCCCTCACTGCTCTTTTTCATCCAAGTTTCCTGGCTATTTTTGGTTATTTTTACACATTAACATCTAAATCTCCTTGTTTTTTTTAAAAAAAGCTAATTGTTGGGAATCACGTTAAATTTGCAAATTGATTGAGGAAGCTCTGGTATCTATCTTTTTGATTTTTCCTGTCACAGTACTTGGCATATCTTTCCTTTTGTTCAAGTCTTCTTTTGTGACCTTCTGCAGTGTTCTAA